GCTTGGAGCAGTTAGGGCTTTGGAGAAAAACGAGAGCCATATTAGCTGTGGAGAGTCAAACTATGAGTTTCTCTCCTTCCACTATGTGGGCCTGAGGATCAAACTCAGACAATCAGATTGGCCCCAAGTGCCTGTGCCTGCCGAGCAGATGGCCTTTTCTTTCAGAAAAAAATGATTTTTTTCTGGCGCCTCTGCTTCCAGAGATCTGAGATTAAAGGCAGATGCAACCATCCCCAGAAAAGACATGAAAAATGTGTGTGTGTAGGGATGTGTTACGTATGGGTGTGGCTATGTTTGTGTGCACAAATACAGGGGTCAGAGGACAACTTTGTTGAGTCTGGTTTTTCCTTCCGTCTTTACGAGGTTTCTGGAGACGGATCCCCAGTGGTCATAGTTTTAGGGCAACTGCCTTTACCTGCCGAGCCACCTCACCAGCCCTTAAAGCGCATTGTTAACATAGATTGATTTGAGGTTAACAGGGGTTAACAGAGAGAAAGGAACTCAGGGAAAGGGTGAGATACACCCAAGAATGTGTGTGTCTCACAAAAGAGAAGCATACTTCTTTGTATTTAAAATAGCCGTGTATATGATTTTGGTGTGTTTTGAAGTTACTGCCTTAAAGGGTTACTAAGACATTTAAATGATGAGGCTGGAGCAAGAGCTCAAAGATTTAGAGTACTTAATGCTTCCGCAGAGGACCCAGCTTCAGTTCCCGTTACCCACAACTGTCCACAACTCCAGTTCCAAGGGATCCGATGCCCTTTTCTGACCTCCGAGGGCACCAGGCATGTGTGTGGAGCACACGCATGAAGGCAAAAACACTTACATACCAAAAAATAAATAAACACATATTTTTTAAAAAAATAATTAAATTACAGTGCAAGGATACTTCTGAGGACACTAGACAGGCTTGTAATTGATAAAGTAAATTCTGGACCACAAGCTCAAGAAGGTAGGGTTCCATTATTATAAATGGAAGGCAATAGTCTTGTTTGTTTGGGTACCAGAAAATGTCAGGGAGATGAGTAAAGGCACACTTTAGCTCACATATGCTCAGGCCTTAGGCATGTTCATTACTATTTCAACTTTTTTTTTTTAAGGCAGAGAGTCTCCCTGTGTAGCCCTAGTTGGCCTAGGCCTTGTTTTGGAATCCAAACTGGCTTTGAACTCACAGAGTTCTGCCTGCTTTTGCCTGCCTCCATGTCCCAGTTATTGGAATTAAAAGTGTCTACCACCACAGCCAATCACTCTAACATTTTTTATTTGAAAATATCTTTACATAAAGGAATGTTGTCTCTGTATAAATAATCTCATATATATATATATACACACACACATACATATACATACACATATACATATATGAATACATACATATATACATACATATATACATGCATGCATGCGTGCATATATATACATACATATATACACATACATACATACACATACATACACACATACACATACATATACATATACATACATATACACACATATATACATACACACATACATGCATACACATACATACATATATACACACATATATACATACTCACACACACATACATGCATACATACGCATACATACGTATATTAACCGTGCTGGAATTCTTGATTCTCATCTAATAAGTGGCTTCCTTTGGGTCCCTTTTCTTTCCCATGTCTCCCTTATTTCCCTGTTTTCCTGCCCTTTCTCAGAAAAAGAAGTACAGGGTGACAAGCTGGCATAGTCACATGCCAGACAGGAGGCCCTTGGCCCAGTCTGCTGTGTGTGCTGCCTCCCAGAACCCAAAGGGCCTGATCACTGACATCTGGCTTCCACTCTCTGTGCTGAGCTGAGCTGGGGCTTGGATCTCAGGCAGCCAGGCTGGTGCTCACAGACAAGGATCAAAGTACAGAATATATACAACCAAGGATTCACATGACTTAGTGCAAAGAGAATACCCACCTGTGATTAGCAGCCTGAAGGTTCAAAGTGCACAAGAAACAAAGGCATAGACCTTAATGCTGCTCAGTGTCCCAGGGTGAGGGTGGGGGGGACACAAAATGTCTCTGCTCCAAGGGGCCCAGGCTCAGAGAGGGCAAGACTACTAGACTGGGATGTCTCTCTTACCCCCTTGACTTGCTCCTGAATCCATTCCTAGCTGGCTCCCTAAGAAAGGCAAAGTGAGGCTCCCAGAAAGAGACGGTGGGCTTCCAGTTCCAGGAACAATAGGACAATTCTCATTTGGGAGCTGAGAGGTGTCCTGAGGGTTAGGGTTAGGATCTATACTTGCCTTGTTCTCTAATGACCAACCTCAGCCCACATGGCATCTGTGTCCATAGTGCAAGCCAAAAACAGACCACCTCAAGGCCAGGGCATCGTGCCCAGCTTCAGCTAGGCCAGGAACAAGAAGCTGGCCCCCAGGCCCTCAGTCCGTCTGTTCCTGCTACACCGTGGATTCCACTTAGTCACCTGACTGTGTCTGGTGCCCAGCCAGCACCAGAGGGACCATAACAAAAGCTACAGCACCACCCAAGCAGAGAGGTCCCTGAGAGTAAAAGAGGGTTGTGACCGTGGAATCCCCTAGCTGGCTTTCAGAGCTATTCGGGGCTCCCACTATGATGACCTCATGGATGAGCATTCTGGATGATCAGGGTCTGAGGCTAGAGCATGCCCTTGGCTTTGAGCCATCAGCGAGAGAAGCCTGGAACCTGGGCAGCACTTTCGACAAGCAAAGAGCTTCCTATGGAGGTCACCTCCAGCTTTCCAGGGGGATTGGGGTTACCCCCAGGGCCAAGATGCTTTCTAATATGAATGTGGCATTTCATACACAGTGAGATTCTGATGTCTGGTTCCTGAAGTGAGGGGGTAACAGGAAGTGAGTCAGATGGAATGACTGGGGTGTGAGGTAAAGTAGAATATCTCAGGGGCTTCCTGAGAGCCAACAGGGGTCCGCTCACACTTGTACCAGCTGAAAGCTTCCTGCCTCTCCCAGAGGGCTGAGTCTCCAAGGCTGAAGGGCACAGCCTCCCAGGACTGCTGGACCTACCTCCCACAGCCTCAAGACAGAGCCCAAGTTCTTTCTTTCACTTTCCATGGGTGTCCCTATCTGAAGTTCAGCTGTGAATCAGTAGGCATCACATAAACACTTTTTTGGCTGAGGCTGTTAACTTTCCATGTCACCTGAGTCCAGATGAGGACCGAAATTGACCTAGCTCTAGCCCAAGAATATAGGCCAGGCCATCCATGGGGCACTGACCAAATCTTCCTGAAGGGCTACTGGCTGATGTCCCAGAGAACAAATCTGTGCATGTCCATGTCAGGTAAGGCTTCAGAAGAGGCTGGGCAGGAACACTTACCCTTCTTATGTCTCAGTGGGTCTAGAAGCACTTGCTGGATACCTACTGTGTTATGTACCAGGCCTGTGGGAAACCCAGAGCTAGTGACATCATCAGGGTTGTTACAGGTTCACCTATGCTGTCTCTTCCTCCTCCAACGTAATATTTGTGTACATGTGTATGCATACATGTATGTATGTGTACATATATGTGCATGCATGTGTACATGTTTATGATGGTAGAAGGAGTCAGGAAGCAGGTTATCACACATTTTGCAAAGGAGGCAGTAAACTATAAGTAGCAGTCAGGTCATGTTGTGCTTGGAGCTCTCTAGAAGACAAGTTCACTAACAGGAAGTGTCAGTGTTTTGTCAAGCCTTTTCCTTTCCTTTATTGCCAATCAACATCCCAGGGACCCTTTGAGCAGGATCTACATGTACCACAGAGGCTGCACTAGTGAGGAGGATGTGTACGAGGGGTCTCAATCCTGTGCTGGGAACTACACATTAAGGCTGTGAAAGATGGTATGGGATACAACTTGCATATCCAGGGATCTGGAGTTGCCTCTACCATAAGACAAGACAGTCAATTGGGTTGACTCTGGGGTATAAGAAACACTGCCTACCTACTAAAAGCAGCACGCAGCCTGTCACATGGTAAAGAAAAGAAATAAAAAGCTTGCCTGTGCTTTAGAAGTGTGTAGTACAAAAGTAACATGTGACCAGGGTAAGTAGGCAGAGCTCAGGGTTTGAGCAAGAAGGGACTGGGAAGGCTGCTTGGCTGAAAGATGGGTGCAGATTTGAACAATGTCTCACCTTTTCTGGCATGAGTTATTGTGGTAGCTTATCTTGGTCAACTTGACTACATCATCGCTCAACTAAAACCCAAGCTTCTGGGATCTTCTGTGTGGGATTTCCTTGATCACATTATTTGATGGCAGTGCAAGCTTGGATTTTTGCCTGCTTACCCTCACCCTCACTGGAAATTTCATCTGTCCGGTTCCTTCACCAGTGTTAGGACCTACTTCTACAGGGTTTCAACACAGACTAAAGAGCAGCAGCAATCCTGCAGACCTTCAGCACCAGACAGGGAGAACTGAGATGTTCAGCCTAGTGCGCTAAACAATTACAAGATTCTTGGCCATTGCTGGACTACACAGACCACATCCTATAAGCCACGGGGCTCAGTGTGAGGATGGCTGAGCAACTGAATGAAGGACAGCCATTATGTAAGAAGAGCAAACACTATGCACTGAGCAGAGGCCGCTTACTGTAACATGACACCGAGACTGTACAAAGTACAACCCAAGCAGTTTGCCTCGTTAACTATACAGCTCTAAGAAGAAAGTGTGCAAAATAGCCAGCTCAGTGCTGCTCACTCCCGGATTCATATACCTGCTCATTGCTTTACCTCAGCCAGCCCCACTCTTACCAAATGTAAGGACAGGAGGAAGGTGGTGCATTTGTCCCTGGAGCCCTTGCACGGGCTCGGGAATCCGGGGAGGAGCTCAAGGACCCTAGGACGCACAGCCTTTCTCAGACTGGTGCTGTCTTTGGGGGGCCTCGGCAGCAGCTTTGGGGACTTCTGACCTCTTCTTTTTCCTTCCTCTGGGTAGTGTCCAAAAAACCACTGGCCAGAACAGTGGTTTCCTGAGGCTCATTCTATGAATGAGCCATGTTGGCCTACCCTGTAACACCCATTGACCCGTGTCTCAGAATTCTCTGGACCTTCCTTTTCCTGGCTGCCTCCCTGAATGCCCATACCCAAGGTAAGTCTGGGTTTTACTTCTCCCGAGTAGAGGGCCTCCCAGGGCTAGACATGGTGGGATGGTCAGACCAAGGTCAAGTCCAGGTAGTGGCCTTGGCTTTGTAGACCCAATATGGTTGAAGCTGGGCTACAGAAGGTTGAGCTATGTACCCCTGATGATAGCAGACAGTGGACAGTGGAGTACTAATAGTCTTGGGATCACTTTCAGGGCATCGGTAGGGTATCAAAGACCATGCCTAGGCTTCAAAGTAAAGACTGGGCTCTCTACACAGTCTGGGATGACCCCAAGTGCACTGAATCTGAAGTGTCTGCACCCAGAGGCAACCACGTGGTGATGTCCTGTAACATCTCCAACACCTTCAGAGATGTCACCATTGAGCTGACTGCCAATGGAAAGACCAGGACCATCTTTAACGGAAAGCCTCCAGGAAACTACTTTAATGATTCCTGGCAGCTTCACATTCAAGGCAGCCAGGCCCAGCTGGTGATCGCAGAAGTACAGGACATCCACGCAGGGCAGTACTTGTGGAGGCTGCGTGGGAACCAGAGACCACCGGATCAGTTCATCCTCCTGAATGTTACTGGTGAGCTTTAGGCTAAGAAGCGATTGCTGAGTAGTAGGTGGGGAAGGAGCTCTGGATTACATCTGCTTCCACACACGAAAACCCTATGTGTCTAAACCTACTGCCCTCCTCACTCCTTCCTTCCTGCCTAGTCCCTCCAGGCTCCACCCCCACCCCCACCCCCCAGTTCTTAACGCCAGTTCCATCTACCATAGTCATCTGAGCCCCTAGGAGTTTGGGGGTGACAACAGAATTTCCTCTGCTCTCTCTACCTTGGAGATGCACCAGGGCTGCCATCCCCAAACCTGATCATTTCTCTGCCAGAGCCCCCAAAACCAGGAAGGTGCTGAACGGTTCGTGTTCTCCAACTCCAAAAGTATAGGGTCTTCACACTTCCCCCCCCCCTCTGGCAACATGGCCACTATTCCTGAAGCCCCACTCATGGCCCCCTCCTAGCTTCCTCTGCAACCCTTTCCTGCCTATACAGGAGTCCATGAAGGGAGTGTTGAGGGGTGGGAGGGTAAAGTGAGTGGTGCTAGAATGAATGAATTATGCAAGCCAATTCATTCACTTCCCTGCTCCAGACCTAGACACTGCCCACCAGGAGGAGCCAGAGAGCTTGGGGGTCATTGCTGAGTCCCCACCTACAGTGCGCACGGATATCATCATCACTGTCATCGTCGTCATCATAATCATCACCATAGGAACTACTGCCTTTGCCTGGTACAAGCACAGCCGTTCCCCAAAGTGCCACAGATATGAAGTCCCAGTGCCCTATCTGAGCCATGGGTCGACTCATAGTCTCTACCTGACACTGCCCTAAGGTCTCCCAAGGCGTGCCCCAAAAGGTACTCAAGGGGCCTTGTTAGTTCCAGGCAGCAGAGTACAGAGAACTTCAAATGGCTGTGGTTGACTTGAGACAGGCTCACAAGAATCCTCGGTCTCCAAGCCCTCACTATGACCCTGAGAGCAGACCTTCAGGGTCCTCCCAGGTCCCCAGAGGAAATTTGCATTGCATTGTGATCTTTTTTATTTTGTTTTATTTTTTCCATTCAGGATGCCCTGGAAGTTGACTGAGCCCCTCCTGTACTCAAAACATAACTCTGTTGGTATCTGGGGGACATCAAAGTATTTCAGAGCATCCCCAGTGTGTGTGTATCTGCTTATTTGTGTAAGCTGTCTGTGCTGGTAGAGTCTGTACATGAGTGTCTGCATCTCACACAGGCCCAAGCCAGGCTCTGGAGCAACCTCCCTCCCTCCCTCCTTCCCTCCTTCACTCCTTCCCTCCCTCCTCTCCCTCTCTTCCCCTTCCCTTCCTTACTCCCTCCTTTCCTTTCTTCCTCCCTCTGGCTCCCTCTTTTTCCAGGTGAAGGAGCCTTACAGGTGATTGGAATCTGTGGGGAGCCACCTGCAGAGCAGTTCCTATGTTTGGAGAGCAAGGCCAGCATGGGCTGATCATGTCCCCAGTATTTGGAGCCCCTTGGTGCTCTCACCACCCGCAAACATTCATGAACCTATCACCACCCACTTGGAACAACAAGGAAGAACCCTGTCTTGTGTTTGCTAGGCACAATAGCCCATGTCCCGTGTCTAGGGAGAAGCACAGGATCTCATCCATGTCCTGTGCAGAAACAGGGACATCGACTCACTAGGGAAGGGTCTGCTAAGCAATGGTCTGGGCCTCTCTCTGGCACTCAACAATAACAGACTCTCTCCTGTGGTCATTAGCTGCTTACTCTGCCCCTCAGCTTTTTCCAAAGTTGGGGAAATTCCTAGCTGCACACACACACACACACACACACACAATGTATTTTTTTTTTTTAAACCACAGCACTTCACAGAATCCTAAAGATGAAGTCTGAGGCTGAGGACACTGCCTATCAGGCCCATAGCAACCCAGGTGCACGGGGATATGTGCCGATTAGTCTAAATTAAGATCCATGCCATCGTGATGCTAGGTTTGGGCCAATTCAAGCCAAGCTCAGGTGCCCTGGGTCACACTGGGCGCCGTTCATGGGAGCCACGTATCTAGGGCCTCTGAAACCTGTTCCATACTGCCTAGCCCAGTCAAGAGCATTGCTCCTCAAAAGTCATAATAGATGTCAGCTCTGCGTCCTTGTTATAATGGGAGGAACCCGGAATCCAGGTGCCCCCTGTTAAGCAGCCATGAGAATCCTAAAAGAAAAGTTGCATAGGAGCCCTTAGCTTTTCTTTCCTCCCTCACAACCACTGTCTTTTCAGGGTTCCTCTGCCTGAAATAGGATGCTGGTCCTTCTGTGTCTTCCCCCCTCACTCCAGCCACAGGGCTTCATACCTACTGTCCCTAGTGCCATGCCCATGTGACCTGCCCCTCTCTAGTCCTTGGATCTTCCTCTCTCTCCTTAGTGGCTTTTGACCTTCCTCCAACAGGCCCTTCCCCCATATGCCCTGTGTCCATGGGATCATGGCTAGATGTCCATCTCTTTTCACAGAGAATGACAAGTAAGGTGTCAGGATAGAAGCATATTTCTGCTTAGGCGGTGTGTGTGTGCCACAGTGTGCCTATGGAAGGGGTCAGTCCTCTCTGTCTACCGTGTGGAAAAAGCAAACACAAGTCGTCAGACTGGATGGCAATCACCCTTACCCAGGGAGCCAAATCTCTAGGGCTGCATATAAAGATTTTAATAAGTATACAAATAAAGATAGAGGAAAGGGGGTGATCATTATAAAGTAACTCCCTGAAAGGAAATGTTCCTTTTATAATAAGAGACGTTGTTTGGTTTTAATCTCATGCTGCTTATGTAGAGTCTCATTTGGATGGATAAAAAGTGGACATCCCTCCTCCTCCTTCTGAAAGATGATTTTGCTGTTTGGTGCTCTTGGGGGTGAGAAGAGAGAGTATTGGATCCCTATGGCTAACTGGGGCAGGGGCAGCCTCCAGTCAGAACCCAGGGTATATGCAAAACAATCCATGAATGTGGCAAGGGCTAGACTTTTCTATCTGAAGAGTAAATAAGGAAACATGCTATCTGATGGTAACTTTCTCTTTTACTTCATCTTAAATAATTCTGAGAATCTCTGTCCCCGCACAGCTACATTCTTTACATACCGCTACATATCTCTCTTTACATACATACATCTCTCTCCTACATGGCCATACATCTCTACACACGGTTACATCTATTTTCACATGACTACATGACTTGCTTTCACTTACATTTCTGCATCTCTTTCCTACGCAGCTTCATATTCCTTGCCTCCATACAAATTTCCACACAGCCACAGCTATACCTTTCATTTATGTAACTCTCTCACCATACAGCCCTTTACTCAGTTCCTAGACACAGCTCCTCTAAGTAGCAGCAGCTTTCACACAGTTCTCCGTCTCTCTCTCTCTCTGTCTCTCTCTCTCTCTCTCTCTCTCTCTCTCTCTCACACACACACACACACACACACACACACACACACACACACACTTCTACATCATTCACTCACTCTGACACTGTCTCTCACATCTCTCTCTCCCCCACAGTCGAGTTCTCCTGCATAGCCTTATACAGCTTTCTGCTCTCCTTTTCTCCTCTCAGTCAAACTCTGAACAATTAAATGTTGCATTTTCAGGGTCTGACCCATTGTCCTAAAACAAGATAAGTCACATAGTTTCTCTTAGGCTAGTTAAGTCACATAGTTTCTCTTAGGCTAGTAATGTCACATTGGCCTGCCCCTGAGTAAAGCTTGGCCATGCCGGTAGAGCTCCAAGTTGATGAGGGTTCTCACATGGAATATAAATAAATGGTTGGATGAACCTTGAGCCTGTAATATAAACAGAGTCTGGGACTACTTGGAAAAAAAAAGTCAATTACTGAGAAATCTATGTCTACTATAAAGTTGTTTCTAGCCTGACCTTTAATCAGCAATAAACAACACCTGGGAAAATGATCTCGTATATTTGTCTCCTGGGGCAACCAGGCTGCTCTGAAGTCCAAAATTAGCTGTCTTTGTGACTGAGAATACTGTTACCTTCCTATGTCAGTCTGAACAATGAAAGATATCTCAGTATTATTTCTATTCATCAAAATTATACAGTGAAGCAGAATTCATCTTCCTGACATCCACAACTATGTGTGTGCCCAACAGATGGAATATTTACATGAGGTAAACACACAAGCAGTAGAAAAAACACCCATTGCAGTTCTTAGAGAAGAAATGAGGTAGCACATGAGAGAAATTACAGACAGGGTAACCAGTGACCCCACAGACTTTGCCTAGAGGGACTCCCCAACAGAGAGTCATTCATCTGGTAGGTCAGCCTGCTGAACACTAGTTCTCACCTGCTATGTACTCCCAAAGCAGTGCTCAGCAGATCCCCTGAAACTGGAGTTACAAATGTTTGTGAGCCACCCTGCAAGTGCTGGGAGCTGATACCAGGTCCTTGGTGAGAGTAACGAGTGCTCTTAACCACCTAGCCATTCTCTCCAGCCTCTATGGATTTTATTTTATTCTATTTTAGACAAGGTCAGGCTAAGTAGTCCTGGCTAGCCTGGAATTCACTGTATAGAACATGCCGGCCTCAACTCAAAGAAGTCCGCCTGCCTCTGCCTCCTGAGTACTGGCATGAAAAGCATGTGCCACCATAGCCGGCTAAAGATTTTATTTTTAATTATGTGTATGGGTTTGTGTATGTAAGTGCAGTGCCTGCAGAAGCCTGTCCTGGAACTCGCTCTCATAGACCAGGCTGGTCTCACAGAGCTCCTTCTACCTCTGCCTCCCAAGTGCTGGGATTAAAGACGTGTGCCACCAACGCCCACCTTAAGTAGTAACTTTTATAAGTACCTAGGTCATTAGTGGTGAAGTGTCATGGGTCATTGGGAGTTATATAAGGCATCACAAGTCACTCAGAAAACTCCAAGACTCAGTGTCTGTTAGAGTGGGACCTTTTGCTTTATTTATTTATTTATTTATTTATTTATTTATTTATTTATTTTGGTCTTTTGGTTTCTAGACCCATCTCCACCCAGGTGAGCAAGGTCAAATCAGTGACAGAGATGAAGCTCTCTTCCTTCTGGACAGCTATGCAGTGGAGAAAGGCTTTGGGATGCCCTGGTTGGTTTTGCTTATCTGACGTGGGGTCATAGAACCATAAGGCACAAAGGCTGCATTTTTGGAAGGAGAAGTAGTTACTGCAAGAGGCTGAGGCTGGACAGTGACACTGCTTGAGGATTGAGGAGTCCTTGGGAATAGTAAGCAGGCATTGATGTTGATGGTAAAAATTGATATCTCTTAGACAGTGGAGCTTTGTGGTCTGTAATGTACAACAATCGTATGTCAAGGAAGCAAAAGCCAAAAGGGGCAATTACGCAGGCGATTGGACCCAGGAGAGTCAGTGTCCAGGAGAGCAGGACCCAGTGCCCCTCCAGGGCACCATCTGTCAGAAGTGGTTTCACAGTTGGCATTGCTCCTGGTGGATTGGCATAGACTCATCACTGCTCTCCCAGGGCCAGCCAAGAGCCAGGCATGGCAACTTTGGAGAACCACTTGGAGGGAGAGTATCAAGCTGGTCCTGAGGGGCCTGAGAGCTGATGAAGTGTAGCTGATCCCATAGCTAACTTCACTAACAAGTTATGGTTAACACAAGAAGTCAGTCTGGGCTGGGCGGTGGTGGCACACACCTGTAATCCCAGCATTAGCGAGGCAGAGGCAGGTGGATCTCTGAGTTCGGGGCCAGCTCGAAGAGCGAGTTTCAGGACAGGTGGGGCTATGCAGAGACTCCCTGCAGTAATGCTGAGCCACACAGAAGGCGTGTGCTGACTAGTTTTATGTCATCTTGATACAAACTAGAGTCATTTTAGAAGAGGGAAC